GCTGAGAGTATACAATGCCCTCTTGGTCTCCACCCTCCTCTACAATTGTGAGACGTGGGGACTCACGGAGGGCAACCTGGCATCCCTGGACGTACTCCATAGGAAACAGCTATGCACGATTCTTGGAATTCGTCACCCAGACCATAATAACGAATGATGCGTTGTACAAGAGGTGCAGCTCTGAACCGATATCTGCAACTGTAAAGCGCCGCAGAACGCAAATGCTAGGGCACGTCCCTCGGATGGGCCCCGATGCACCTGCCTTCAGAGCTATGACATGCTACCTGAAGCGAGACGCTACCGGCCACTGTGGTAGACCGAAGACAACACTCGCCACCACGGTCATCAAGGACCTCCAAGAAAGTAACATCCCGTTGAAGAGTGTGGGGGACTTGGAAGAGGTCCGCGCCACTGCCACTGACAAGAATCAGTGGCGTGCCATGTTCCATCAGTAGCTGCTGCATTTTGTCCGCTCCGCTCAGTGACTCCGTTCTCAACGTTAAAGCAGTAACCGCTGCATTTTGGCCGCTCAGTAACTATTAGTGTTTGCACTCCGTTTCCCACACGCGCACGCACACCTCCCCGCACGCACACTTCCCCGCACGCACACTAGCACATGCATGCGCGTACATACACCCATCTCCATACACACCTCTATCCGGTTGTGCACTTTCATGGGTTTTTTTCTTTTCCATTTTTTCACAACCATCACATGTAGCAGAGTCCAAAGGAGACAGAAGCGGAAAGGTTAGTATTTGCTGCCTTGTACGCGAACTGTTCTATTATTTAAAGAGTCGGCGTGGAGAAAGCAATTTTATTAGTGCAATTAGGAGTATAATAGATGCAGACATGGCCAGACAACAACGAGTTCATGGAATTTTTAAGGATTTTTATGTTATTCAAAATCGATTTTCGTGTTCCGCTCATCAGTGAATAGTATCGGAACTGAGGGTACTGTGTACAAAAATAGAACATTTTATAACAGCATAATTAATTAAAAGTGTGAACAACAAAGGAAGTGCTACAGCATTACATAATAGGTGTCAAACATAGTGCTAACGTATATAACTGAGTGCAGCCACGAAGCAAGAGGTGATACAGTGCAACATGACACAACATTTACATCTGATGACCAGCTACGAGAACAACTTTAGCGCGACTACGTGCTTCTTTTGTTTACAAAGAACAGGATTATGCACACGAATACATACAGCTTCCAGAACCTTCAACTGCTTAACATAACTTGCACGGCACAAAACAGAAAAGTGAGAATCATCGTACACACTAAGACAATCTGGACGTGATAACAAGTGACAAAATACAGCTGACTTTTTGCTCACGTCGCTCTCTTCCGTCTCATCCCGCTCCTTCACCCCCTTTACCTTTGGTGACTACCGAGACGGTGGTCCCCCGGTGCTGGGATCCACGTGCCGACTGTGTCTGGACAGAGAGGGAGATCATCGACAAACCAAAATGAAACCAATATCCTCACCCATAGACCCAGAAGAAGCACAGCAAACTATTCACTTGAAATTTATGCACGGAATGGACTTGGCCCACGCAAAATGGACAATGGAAATGGGTGTGCAGTAGCAGAGAACCCAGCAACGGTGACGCGGAGCAGCGGTCAAACGACTTGTGATGCTGGTGGAGATGATGGAGCCATGTTGGAGGCTGATAAGGAGTGCAGTGAGACTGAGCATCAAACGGATGATGAGGAAGTGACTGATGATGATGATGGTGGTGATGAGGACGATGATGATGAAGATGAGACGGAGGACGAGGATAGGGCGGAGGAGGTCGAAGGAAAGGAGCGGGATGAGACGGAAGAGAGCGACGTGAGCAAAAAGTCAGCTGTATTTTGTCACTTGTTATCACGTCCAGATTGTCTTAGTGTGTACGATGATTCTCACTTTTCTGTTTTGTGCCGTGCAAGTTATGTTAAGCAGTTGAAGGTTCTGGAAGCTGTATGTATTCGTGTGCATAATCCTGTTCTTTGTAAACAAAAGAAGCACGTAGTCGCGCTAAAGTTGTTCTCGTAGCTGGTCATCAGATGTAAATGTTGTGTCATGTTGCACTGTATCACCTCTTGCTTTGTGGCTGCACTCAGTTATATACGTTAGCACTATGTTTGACACCTATTATGTAATGCTGTAGCACTTCCTTTGTTGTTCACACTTTTAATTAATTATGCTGTTATAAAATGTTCTATTTTTGTACACAGTACCCTCAGTTCCGATACTATTCACTGATGAGCGGAACACGAAAATCGATTTTGAATAACATAAAAATCCTTAAAAATTCCATGAACTCGTTGTTGTCTGGCCATGTCTGCATCTATTATACTCCTAATTGTTCTATTATTATTATTATTATTAAAAACACACGAAATGTCAACTTCAACAATAAAACTGGAAACGGATCATAACAGCTGACAGCACAGAGTGGCAAAGCGACATAACACGAGAGTATACATAAGAGTACAATTCTAATTCTAGACTACAGCCGAGAACAACGACGTACATGTAGTCGAAAGCTACACAACCATGATGGCTACCGGTAAACCATGTTCACATGTACACATGCAAAAAGGTTTGAACAAATGCACAGCGATGTTATATTCTTTCTTTTGTCGCTTCACTTCAGTCACTCTTTCTTTTCCCAAAAAGCATGGCGATGTGTTTTTCATTTCTCCTATTTTTTCAATACATAGCAGTTCGTTGGTAGTTGTGAGGTATGTAGTTGGTGCAGAAATTTTTCCTCGCGGTCTGCGAACTCCGTTACCAATGCTGCTAACTTCTTCATCACATCTACAACGGGGAGGGAGCACAACAGATTTACCGCGGAATCCGCCAGCCCAGGCCACGAACGGCAGATTTAGTTGGAGGCATGGCAGAGGTGAACCAACGCTATCGGATGCCTACCTAGTGTTCTACTACTACTAAACTGATACTCAAATCCTTATGTTTGAAACCAGGCCGGCTTGATGCCAGTTCTCCTGGCGAGAAACGGTGGGAGCCTCAGAGCGTGAAAACCTGCACCCTGCTCCACAGTTTGAAAATCTGAGAATCAACCATATGGATGTTCAACCCGGTTCTTACCCTCATTTTGCTGCTTGTAGGGTAGTTTTTAGACTTCTCCTAACGTCCGTCGTGTTTTCTTTGATCGCTCCTGGATGTCGTCCTGATAGTCATAAAAGTAGCTATTCTAACCTGAATTCTTCTGTCCATGGTTTCCATCTCTCAGCTCGTCAGCTGACAACAGTTACTGTCACCTGTCGTGAGAAGGTGCTCTCTGTAGACATATTCCCATGGCCGCGTCGGGACGTCACCAACCTCGTCTACAGAGAGCACCTTCTCACGACAGTGTCATGATGGTGACAGTAACTGTTGTCAGCTGCAGTTGGAAGAAAGAATAGAGTTAAGAAAAACAATTCAGGTTAGAATAGCTATTTTTATTAAATTTTATGACTATCAGGACGACATCCAGGAGCGATCAAAGAATACACGACTGACGTTTGGAGAAAGAAGTCTAAAAACTCCCCTAGCAATAATGAGGGTCAGAACCGGGTTCAACGCCCATATGGTTCAGATGGTGCCAACGGACCGGGGCTCTACCAACGGTGGATGGTTGCACTAAGTCTAAGGTCACCATAGTCACTGTTTTCGAACACGGTGTCCTCCAACTATGTTACTTGTTAAGTGGTTTCATGCTTTCAAACCAACACTAAATAATTAAAACAGGGCTTGAAAGTGCTACGTCACAGCATAGAACCAATTTCAAAAATTCACATTTTTTTATGGATCCAAGCACATTTCAAGCGGTCTTACTCACAGCAATGTGATGTAGTCAGTGAAACTTACTTCATGTACTTCGAAGTACTGATTTGGCAAGTGGGGGCGGGGTGACACCTGATGGCGAAGTAAAAGTCACGCCTGCATACGACATGAGTGGGTTGCTATGCACCCACATATTTAGGGCTTGAAAGTGATGACGTCAAAACGGCCAGGGAGTAGTAAGTTGACATCAGATTTCTATTTTTGGATCCACTAAGGTGTGACTTTGCTATTGCCTAAGTATGTGGGTGCATAGCAATCCACTCATGTCGCATCCAGGTGTGACTTTTATTTCGCCACCAGTTGTAACCCCGCCCCCAGAAGCCAAATCAGTCAGTTTCACTGGCTACATCACCATGCTGTGGGTAAGACCGCTTGAAATGTGCTTGGATCCATACAAAAACTGGATCCAAGTGGATCCAGTTTTTGAATTTTTGAAATTGTTGCTATGCTGTGACGTTGCTGTGACGTTGCTCACAACTGGGCACACAATACACACAGTTTCACTTGGTTTTTTTTACATTTTCACTGCATTGCCATTGATGTTAGCAGGAGCGCTCCTACGACGTGCGCGAGTGTCGCCGCATTTGCTGCTTCCGACCCACGTGTGGATCAGCTGATGCAGAAACGGCAATGGCGGGAGCGGCAGCTGCGACAGCCGCTGTTGATGCTTCGCCTTCTTCTTCAGGAGCATCCGACGCTGCTGGAACATCGACATCATCATCCTAAGTCGACACCAGGTCGCCAGGAACATTCTCATCGCCCGAGTTCGTCTCCACTAACTCAAGTTGCTCTTCCTCCATCGTGAAAAATCAAACCCTAGATATAGGGCCTAGAATATTTAACGACAGCGCTGCACTAAAACTAACCGTACTCGAAGAAAATAGCAACAAAATGTTCACGGTCTTCATGCAAGAGAACCCTTCGTACATTCTACGTATGTGGGCACAGGCGTCTAGTTGCCATAGCAGCCGAGTGGGCTCTCAAGAGAGCACAAGATAGAACGCGCGGCTGCAAACCCTATAGTATAGATAGGGTTTGACAGGCTAAGAGATAACTGCATGCAGCTACCATGGCTACGCTGATCAAACAGTTAGCTACGAAGAGCTGCGATAAAAACGCTGCGTAGAATTATTTTCTGTTTGTGTTAGGCTGTCGTGTTGCGGGAGTTGTTCTTCGTGTGTTGCGAGGGCAGAATTGCTTGTGGACTGCAGCGAGTTGGTGACAAAGACGGTAGAAGGTAAGAAGATCCTGATAATTATGCCGGCAGAATTTGAACTTTAGATTCCTAGGTTGAAGGCAGCCGATTGATTGAATTGTGTTCCCACACAATATTTTCATCAAGACTGCAATCTTGAACGGAAAGCAGTCATGCATAGAGAGAATGAAGGCCACAGATCATTATCTTTATTGCCAAAAAAAATTATTTTGCCTTGGTAAGCAGATTGTTTGAAAGCAAATCCCTGAATACAATTATGTACACACCTCGAAGAAAGCTAGGGTTGAAACGATGTCTGGATAGGTCTCCCCCCAAGAATTTCTTTATTTTACCGTTTCAAGCAATGAAAATAAAGTAAAACGGTTAAAAAGAGTGACAAACAGTAGACAAGGACACAATTTTTTTTTTTAATAGCAATAAAGAGAACAAATTCTGCTGTCATCGCCACACAACAGCGAAATCATGGAAGTTTTCAGTTCTCACTTCACTTCAATTTTCTTACCTTTCTTCACCTTTCTTCATTCTATTCTAGCACTTTATTTTGTTCTCAACACATTTTTTTTTCAACACATTATTGGATGTATTATTTTAAAGTATTGTTCAGCACGGATACTCTTCAGTCAAGACCTTCCACTGATGAATGTGACATGAAAATCGATTTTGGAAAACTTTCATAACTTTGTTGTAGTGTGGCGATGACAGCAGAATTTGTTCTCTTTATTTGCTTTTTTTTAAGGGAAATGAAAACAGTGAGAAGGTATGTAGGCAGAGTTTGCCGACAGATTTTCAAGTGCATTGCTGACATATTGAAAATTGTGGATTTCGATTTAATTTTGTTACAGGAAGCAGGCAAACAATCTGAACCGACATACAGATGACTTATCCATGGTGTGTCAAGTGATCGAAGGCATGTGCAATAAAGAAAAAGAAAGAAGGATGATAGGGTGAAAAGAAGAACAGAGATAGATTTGATTAGGCGACCCATCATTTCAAAAATTCGTTACTTCGGTTCACTTCTCCCATCAGTTCCAGGGTCGGTCGGTCGGCATTTCCTGTTTCTCTTCTTTTTTCTTTTTCTTTTTTTCTGCGAAGCATAAGGCTATCCTGTCCAGCACGAACGCATGCATCGCCGGCATTGTCAGAACATGCCTGAGATCCTTGTTCCTTGCTGTTTTCCTGGGCAGGGCACCGTCGGGGATTATCGGTATCGCTGGTGTACACAGCCATGTAAGCAACCTTAAAGGCACAAAAAAACACATTCTGCGGTCGAGTGAACAAAGACTTTCGGGTACAATGAATATTATTATTATTATTATTATTATTATGAAATGACCCAAAGGCAATGTGCCTATCGAGGGGTTCATTTGATTGAAAGAACAGTAGATGTAGATGTATGTACAAAGAGAAGTAGGGATTGATGAGGAGAGAAATGGGGAAAATCAACTGCAAGGTGGCGGAATTCCGTTGATTGAGGGTGACCCGAAACAACGAATTTACTCTGGGTGGCCTTACGTTTTCGTAAAACACTTCTCACAAATCATCAGTACATTAATGGTCAATGAAGCACCAGTATCAGTAGAGCAATAAATAGAACGAACTCTGCCATCATCACTATGCATCAAAAAAGTCCAAGGTTTTCCATAATTGATTTTCAGCCTGAATTATTGTCTCCGCATTGCTTAATTATTTATAATATTAATTATTTTGAAGCACCAGGAAAACTTGTTTGAACAAAAAGTCAATGTGGGATAAGTAACACATGACATCCCTGAAAGGATTCAAGTATGATTTATAGCGAAGAAAACAAAACGAGACCAAACAACGTGCACATACTAGCAATGGTAGTGGACCCCATCAGGACAATATGTAACATGCTCAATTCCAAGGGTACTTAGTGTCCATTAATTTAAACAGAAGTCGAAGAAAAGGATATACTCTCGGTTTTCTGGATGGCCAAAGTGATAAGACAAAGCGTTCGACTGGCACTATAATGACAATGAATGGTTTTCAGTACTTCGAACACACGAACAGTCCTTGGCTACACCACCACGTATAGCAAATTGTACAAATTTTCACCAAAGGAATGGTTTTGCACTGCATTTTTTGAATCATTCGATTTAGTGCCTGAAACGGTTCTGGCGCTTCACCACTGTCCACAGCCACTTGGGGCTGGTTATGAGTTCTTACCTCTGGCTGGTGTTTCTTGGATAAATACAAATGGTTGCATGGTGGGATAATCTAAGACCGTGATTGAGAAACAAATGGAACCAGTCTTTAAAAGTGCTGATTGGAAGCAGAAGAATTTATGCAGCTGTTCTGCGATCCATAGTTGATTGGGAACTTATGGCCTAGGGCTCATTGGAATTGTCCACATCGCCTTTTCGAATAGCATCTTAAAAGAGATAAATTATTTGATTATCTATACATTACCTGATTTCCATTTTCCCGTGGCCAGGGAATAGAGGCCAGTATGTTAACTGTATCCTTTTTAATATTATTCTCCTATCTTTGCTTTACTTTTTGCAGAATGAGTCGCAGACGGAAGCATGCTAAGAGGCAGGCACTTTCTGAGCCATACCCTTCTCCACTAACTCGAGCTCAAGCAAAAAGGTCTCAGTGCGTAGCAAATACGCTTTTTGAAAAAGAGTGTCCTGCAGCCCAGTTGTCAAATACTGAACCTACATTGGAGCTTCGAGGAGCGGTTTCTGAGCCTGCAGAGGCTGAACGTCCTACTGAAGACCTACTGTCATTATGTGATGCAGACGATGAATCAGAGAACCAGTATCCTGTGAAACTCAGCACACTGGACACAATTCATTTCGACGTTTGGCGCTCAGTTCTACTGCGTATGTTGTCCGTCAGAGACATCATCCGACTGTGTCAAGTATCACGACATTTTCACGGATTACTCATGAACGAGGAAACATTCAAGTGGCTATGTGAGGTGAGTATGACCTATAGTAGGAGCCTTTAAAAAATGAAATTACAAGTTTTATGTAGTTCATGCACATGTGAGCCGTGATCAGCTAAAAACCGACCTACAGCTTTTGCCGAAAAATGGAGAATATCACGTTTTTGTAAATTCCCGCTGAAATGATCCTTTTCAAAGAAGAAAGGAGACGGATCTTTGCAGATGCGTGTCGCTCGTGTCAACGTTCATGGAAATAGAACAAAGGAGAGTTATAAGGACCAATAAAATAATTTAGAATGAGCATTGCAGGCCGCCTGATCGGAGCAATGAATTATAACGGTTGTGCCAAGAAATATCCCACAGAAATAACCAACATAGGTTGCAGTACGGGCAACTTTGGCAATTGTACGATGTTCAATTCGAACATTGGAACAACAAAAATGAAAAAGTCAAATTCTAATTGTTTTCTGTTCAATAACAAGACAAGAGTATAGCAATGGCTCGACAAATGAAGTTCCAAAACTTCAGGCATGGCGCTACAAGTCGTAACGCGGGGACCATGCCAATGAGCATGGTAACAATACACAAAAAAGAAGTTAAACTTACCTTTAAATAATGTAGAATGAGCTTGGCAGGCTGTCTGCTGTGAGCAATGCATATAACGGCCGTGTCAAATGCTGAGTTGCAGGATACCATTGCAACGCCCATGGCAATAGTGCAACAAAATTTATAATAGAGAGGTTGCGCACAACAAAATTCGTAGCGCCGTAACGAATATTTGTAACGAAAAAAGCCAAAGTATATTCGTAAATCGTGAGATTGCGCTTAACGCATGAACTTTTTCGTAGTGGGTTGACGCGGCGGCCACGTGGGCCACAGGGAATAGAAAAAATATCAGTATTTTAGTACTCCAGGTAACGAAAATATTTTCGTAGATCTGCTCCATTTCGTTCGTGTTTGGACGGATCTTCGTAGCAACTTACGTTACTTGAACCCGGACGGTCGAAATCCTAACAATTTTCGCTATGCCACTGGTGTATTCCCGGAATGTTTCCCGCCAAACCCATCGACGCCGAATACGTCCATCTGAATGTAGTCTAATGGTAAAAGCAAAATCACTACCTCACAGAGCGGAACTAACGCTACGGAGAAATGAACTGAGCGTGTATACCATGAAACCTGTCCAAGACGACGATTCAAGGGACCTTCAAAATGTGGTTTCCTTATCCAGGATCAATTGACTGGAAATAGCATCCCTTGCTCCTGGTCCCAGTGGACTTTTAGGACAGGTGGTCGCCTTATCCAAGTGGTCGCCTTGACAGGTTTTACTGTACCTCTGAATGCACAACAATGCAAGGTTGTTCCATAGGTTTCGAAGAACGTTCTCTGGTTCCGAACATCAATTGGAATTCAAAACGTGCAAGTGCACACTTTAGTAGTAGAGTTGAAATAGGTAGTCAAGAATGATCCTCTGCGAGGAGTGCATTATGTCTCAATATCACCTCAAATTAATGTCTCTTCAATTTTTTTCCTTGTTCAGTGCCGGTACGACATGAGCCCGAACGTTCACATGAACATCAGCTACAAGACCATCTGCAGAATACTCTACACGGCTGTGTCAGTGGCAAATTGGAAGCAGGTTACTTGGGACAGTCTCGCAACAGTGTACACTACGTGTGTCTTTCCGGAAAGCAAAAGATTCAGCCTCCAAAGGTTGTTATATTGTCTCCCAGTTTTCAGCGGAATTATGCAACAACAAGAGCAGCCAGACGAACCCTATGTCTTTGACCTGCCCGGTTTTAATGCCAATCCATTTGTTACTGGTAACGATGCAAGGACAATGTTCCTCAACTTAACAGAAAAGGATCTAGTTCAACGGTATACTGGTCCTACTGTTACCGCCTGGTACAACCGAACATATGCCATTAGCAGCCTGAAGGAGATGGAGTTGGCTCGATACGGCTCTGTAGAGGCATACCAGGCTGCTCTACTGAAGAATCTGTTTGAGAAATTACCCAAACTAGAAACGTACTTAGTCTACCATCACCGTTATGAGAGACTGTTTCATGTTGCTGACTACATGTTCAAAGGGGGTAGGCAGACATTGGAACTGTATATTTACTGCGGCATTGTAGACCGCAAAATGAAGCGTGAAAACCTGGGTAACGAGACCACTGGTAGCTCCGAATTCAACTGTTGGGCAATGATTGAAGTTGCAAAGATTTGTAAGTACGATTCCGCAGTGAAAGCGTACATCGAAGAGCGTCTTTTGATGTCCTTCGAAGACTACTGCAGCGCCTGTGGAGAATACTACAAGCAGGTCCAAGAGAAACTTGACGTGCGTATGTGGTGGAATCACCAGAGGGCTCTCTTTTCATGTTTTGGCAACTATGTTGCTTCACAATATTCTGACTACAAGCTATGGAACAAAGACGAACTACTTGAAGCTATGGCAGAGTATGGTCGCACACTGGAGATCTAAGCAGAAACAAGACTTGGAGCTGCAGTGAAGCGGATTTAGAGCCACTACCAATGGACAACTGGGAACTTGTGGCCAGGCATAAGGGCTACATGGATGCAGCTCAGGGGTTTCTCGGCACTTGTGCCAGTGGTGGTGAGACGTATCCACTCACCCTCGCCTAATTTGTGTGTACAGAAAGATAGTATAATTGGGTTGAAATTGTTCAAGTAAAGTGTCATGTTTGGTGCGGCCAAGCTTGGCAGTTAATGTTCTACATGTAGGCGTAATGTACTGCTGTTGTTTGTTATCACTTTTTCCTTCCTTCTTTCTTTCTCTTCTTTGTCCATTTTTCAGTTGCAAGTTAATGTTAGTACAAACAATCGTTATTGCTCTCGCTTTCAATGTTAAAATTCACACTTGTAAATTTCACTGCTGTTGTTCTTAGTGTTATTTCTCTAACTTATATTTTCTATAATAGTTCAATTTTGTTTTCAGTGTCCTTTAGTACAACGAAGATTCCTGATGAGTGTTGTACGAAAACTTGTTTGAATCCTTATTTTCTCTACGCCATTTCTTCATATTTTCATCGTTTTATTGCACATTGCCTCCACAGTTTTACATTACATGAATAAAGTGTACACAAATGTCGATCCAGCTTGTATTACTGATTGCGGTTATCAAATTGTTGTCTCCTCGCCGTTTGAAGTAGTGGTTGCGACTTCGGCGATAATTTGTAAGAAAGGGTTTGCTCCCCACACCGGAGCTCGCGCTATTCCGCCGACTTTACTTGACACTTGACTGACTCACGACTGCCATCCAGAGCACACGAGAAGTCCATCGAACCTTCGACTTGGTGAATTCCCCGAAACACTGTGTATTGAGCAGGGAGTGGTGCTTTCTTGCAGGTTTGCCAAGTCGAAGGTTCGATGGACTTGTCGTGTACTCTGGATGGCAGTCGTGAGTCAGTCAAGTGTCAAGTAAAGTCGGCGGAATAGCGCGAGCTCCGGTGTGGGGAGCAAACCCTTTCTTACAAATTATCGCCGAAGTCGCAACCACTACTTCGTACTGTTGTGCCCAGCGCGGGATTCCGACTAGTTGGTTTGGAGGTGACAGCGTTGCGAATGACCGAGGGGCCTCGACGTCTGTCTCACCGTCAAGGAGCGACACTGACTCACGCTGCTATCTGGTGTTCACGAGGTGTTTGTCGCGCTGGAAACGGAGCGTCTCTGTAAATTTTTATCCTTGGTGATGTTTGTGCCTGGAGAGCATTATATAAGTGGTGCTCTTCAGGCACAATCTTCCTCAGCCTACTCAAGCTCAACTGATGAGGTGTGAATTCCCCGAAACACTGTGTATTGAGCAGGGAGTGGTGCTTTCTTGCAGGTTTGCCAAGTCGAAGGTTCGATGGACTTCTCGTGTGCTCTGGATGGCAGTCGTGAGTCAGTCAAGTGTCAAGTAAAGTCGGCGGAATAGCGCGAGCTCCGGTGTGGGGAGCAAACCCTTTCCTCGACGTTTGTTCAAATAATAATAAATATAATTATTATGTTATGGGTACGATATTTGAACAATTGTGGAGACAGTAAGCGCAAAATGGCAATCAACGAGAGAGCTTGAAAGCTCAGTGCCATTCGCTAATCCTTTTTGCCTAGCTCAACATGCATGTTATTAGACCTGATCGGCTACATCATTGTATTGAAAAGGGGTTTCCGTTATGTTATCAGACTCCATAGCCATTATTCGGACATTGTGTCCACGTGTCATACACAATCGTATTCCACATTCTGTGCATCATTTTTCTCTTTGTACAGTTTCTTTCCCGTCTTTCTGCTTTGTACGCTTCACTCACTCTTTCTTTTTCTTTCCAAGATCTTTTTCCGGTTGACATTCTTCGGCAACTGCTTTCCTGGGGACGTAATGTAGTACATGGGTTTGGTGTATGAAAATCATTTTTCGTAAAGATCAAGATCCGTCCACCTCTGTCACGCATGTTTCCTTTTTCCTGCATTTTTTCTACCTTGTCATACTCAACGGTATTCCACACTCAGCGCATATTTTTCCTCCTATAGCCGCATCTCTTCTTCCCTCTTTCTGCATAAAATCGGAAGCCTGTGAAACTGCCTTCCACCAAGGCTGACATTCCAAGAATTTCAGCAGCAATATCGCATGCACGTGAAAATGATTTGAACCAGCACATACAACAACAACTCTTATTGGCAATGGTACTGTTAGGCCCACAAGCAATTAGTTCATATTCATTAGTTGATACATTATTCATTGCTCTTTTGTTGCCATCTTCAATAGGTCCGTCAAATAGTAGTAATAGGTTTTTCATTTGACCCGACGAGACCACACGACGCTTGCAGATCACAGCACAGCACGAACAGTTCACCAGCCACACTCCATGAAAGCAAGTAGAAGTACCCCTGACAAGTCTTGTTTCGTTCCATACAGATAATAACGGGGAACTCATCAGAGGAGAAGCAGTTGTTGAATGAAGGGGTTTAGCTGAATAATGCTATTTTATAGAAAAGATATTGGCGCACTGAGGTGTAAACACTCAACTAACTCACATTATGTGACATACCAACACAAAAGGAATAGTGCAGAATGGAGGTGTTGTGAACCCTACCAGACACAACTGTCACAAATGCTAAATCATTCACAATGAGAAGGAGAGGTACACAGGAATAGGTTGCGCTAGTTTACACGCCACAAATCAGTACCCTTTGTGACGTGTAAACTAGCGCAACCTATTCCTGTGTACCTCTCCTTCTCATTGTGAAGGATTTAGCACTTGTGATAGTTGTGTCTGGTAAGGTTCAGAACACCTCCATTCTGCACTATTCCTTTTGTGTTGATACCTGTCCCCGGGGAAAATCGCAAAAAACGCGGCATAATATGGCATAATTTGCGGTAAATATGCGGTGAATATTATTGATATCTCGCGGCGGCAAGTTTGCAGTTGATATGAGGCAATTTTCACAGTAAGTATGTAGTGAAATCAATCAGTTACAAGTCTCTGGTGTAAGCGCTCGTCATATTTGAGTACAAAGCCACCACCGGATGAGACGTTGCTGACCGAACAGTGCACTGTGTGGACGTGTAGTGCAACAGAAAAGTTCAAAAACGCGGAAAACGCAGTCTTTAAAAAAAATAGCAAAAAACGCGGAAAACAACGCGGCCGCGAAATCGCAAATTTCCCCGGGACAGTGATATGTCACATATGTGAGTAAGTTGAGTGTGAACACCTCAGTGCGCCAATATCTTTTCTATAAAATAGCATTATTCAGCTAAACCCCTTCATTCAACAAGTGCTTCTCCTCTGATGAGTTCCCCGTTATTATCTGTATGGAACGAAACAAGACTTGTCAGGAGTACTACTACTTGCTTTCGTGGAGTGTGGCTGGTGAACTGTTCGTGCTGTGCTGTGATCTACAAGCGTCGTGTGGTCTGGTCGGGTCAAATGAAAAACCTATTACTATTATTCATTATGTAATCATTTGGCCTGGGTAATTAATTGACCGCCCATGTTTGCCATAGCTACCCAGGCCCTTTATATTGCGTTGCTTCTCTCTTCGACTCTCTCTCTTCAATAAGCTCGCTCTTTTCAGACAATCTCTTTCTCACTCTTCAATGGAGTCGTTCCGTTCGTCCTGGTCTTAGTCATCCCGTCTCTAATAAATGTCGTTCCCATCAACATACCTGTTCCCGTTGTCAGTTGTGTTAGTGAGTAAGAAATGTCTCTTGTTCGGACCCAACATTGGCGCCCAACTTTACTCCACTCCGCAGCTCAGAACTCCGCAGCTCACGACCCTGAGAAGTAATTTACGTGTAGTGTTGCTCCCGTCACTGCTGGACTGTCCTTGTTTATTCGTCACCCCTGTCCGTGTTCGTCGTGGAGCTATGTCGTCGTGCTGTGTCATTGCGCGGTGTCGTCGCGCAACGACACCGCGCAATGTCGTCCTTCTTCGGACTCAACATTGGCGAACCAACGACCCTCGTCCTCTACCGCCCAGGATTCGTCTCGTCGTCAGTCTCGTCTCGTCGCCAACCTCGTCTCTTCTATGTCAACCTCGTCTCGTCCAAGTCATGCAGGTCAACTACTTTCTTTATTTCTCTCTTTCTTTTTCATTCGTCCTTCGTCATCAAATATATTTTCGGTTTATTTATTTCGTGAATTTTTTTGTAGTGTGTGTGCGCGCGTGTGTTCTTCATAAAATATTAGTAAATTAGAGGTCCGATCATGGTGACCCACGTTTTAATTTTTGATAATTAGCAAAAGTGACACTACGCTATTTTTAGCCATGCAAGCATTATCAGTAGGTTCCTCGTCACGTCTTACTCAATAACACAACTGACAACGCGAACAGGAAGGTTAATGGGAACTTCATTTATTAGAGACGGGATATGACTGAGACCAGGACGAAAGAAAGACTACATTGTGATTATTGAAGAGAGCGACTTGAAGAGAGTGACTTGAAGAGAGAGCAACGCAATATAAAGGGCCTGGGTAGCTATGGCAAACATGGGCTCGCAAGTAGCTACCCAGGCCAAATGAATAATGCATGAACTAATTAGAATATGACTAATTACTTGTGGGCCTAACAGTACCATCGTGAGAATAAAGAATTCAAAAAAAACAGCAACAACTACAACTACAGCAAGAAAAGAAGAACAACAACAACCACAACAACAACAACAACAACAACAACCACAACAACAACAACAACAACAGCAACAACAATAGCAAAACAAGAACAACCGTGGGCGAAAGAAGATACAAGAACACGAGCCACAACGACTATGACGACTCTGACGCTGGCAACAACATGGGTGCATCACGTGGATTTATGTAGAACACTTTACTATGGGGTGGGGGGGGGGGCTTCAGCACCCGGATTCCCCCTGCCCTCCCCCTGAGCTGGTTACGACACTGGGGGCACCTACTTGAATAACATGCGTGGCTGGTACAGGCAGGTTTGTCTACTGATAGTGTCTCTAAATCCGCTTCACTGCAGCTCCAAGTCTTGTTTCTGCCTAGATCTCCAGTGTGTTACCATACTCTGTCATGGCTTCAAGTAGTTCGTCTTGGTTCCATAGCTTGTAGTCAGGATATTGTGAAGCGTGATAGCTCCCAAAACCTGAAAAGAGAGCCCTCTGGTGATTCCACCACATACGCACGTCAAGTTTCTCTTGCACCTGCTTGCAGTATTCTGCACACGCGCTGCAGTAGTCTTCGAAGGACATCAAAAGACGCTCTTCGATGTACGCTTTCACTGCGGAATCGTACTTACAAAGTTTCACAATTTCAATCATTGCCCGACGGTTGAATAAGCAGCTACCAGTGGTCTCGCTATCCAGGTTCTCACCCATCATGTTGCGGTCTACAATGCCGCAGTAAAAATACAGTTTCAGTGTCTGCCTACCACCTTTGAACATGTAGTCAGCAACACGACACAGTCTCTCATAACAGTGATGGTAGACTAAGCACGTTTCTAGTTTGGGTAATTTCTCAAACAGATTCTTCAGTAGAGCAGCCTGGTATGCCTCTACAG